CGCGCGGCCAACGCGCGCATCACCGGCACCTCCCCGCAGAGGACCGACGTCCGGTACGGGGGGACCCTCCAGCTGGACTGCAGCGCCTCGGGGGACCCCTGGCCGCGCATCCTCTGGAGGCTGCCGTCCAAGAGAATGATCGACGCGCTCTTCAGGTACGTGGGGTTGCTCCTGCCTCGCCGCCGATCCCTGGGGTCCACGCTCGCCTCGCCTTGGGATGCTGGGCGCCCCTCTGCATGGAGTCGGGCAGCAAAAAGGATGCCTGCTTGTTCGGAGTGAATCCGCACAGACGTTGCTTCCTGTGTGTGCTGCGTGGGGGTGTCGGGGCCAGTTTCCTTTCTCACACGAGGAAATCTCGCCTTTATAAATTGATGCAGAGCATACAGCTGGATCTTGCCTGCTCCCCCACCGCACCCTCCCACCAAAAGAGTGACAAACCAGTAGATTTTTTTTTTTATTGAGGGGGCATAATTACATTTATTGATTTATTTTCAATGTAGGTACTGGGGATTGAACCCAGGACCTGGTGCATACTAGGCATGCGCTCTACCACTAGAGCTATACCCTCCCCACCCAATCGGGTTTGTTTTATTGATCATAGTTTAACTGCATTTTCAGAAATTAGATGAAACAATTTAAGTTGTCTTCTCTGTTACCTAATCTCAGCAAAACCCATGGAAGCCTCAGATGTTATGTTAAAATGGTATTAGGGGTAGAAGGAATGTATGTAAAACAAAAGAAAGTTTTAAAGGCATTATGACTGCATGAGGGTAGTGCTTTTGGAATTCTAAAAGTTCACTGTGGCTAAGAAAAAAGGAAAAAAACAAACACGTTCTGTTGCCCTGTTTTCAATTTCCAAATCTAGGAAAGTGAGTCACCACCAAAGGGGATTTTGTCCCCAGGGACATTTAGTCATGTTTGGAGACATTTTTGGCTGGTGTGACTTAGGGAACAGAGTCGGGGGGCATTACTGGTATGTGGTGCGTGAAGACCAGGGGTGCTGCTCAACACCCCACAGTGCACAGGGCACCCCCACCAGAGAGTCCTCCAGCCCCAGTGTCAGCAGTGCTGAGAAACTCTGCTTTATCAAGAAAAACTATTATCTGTCTCTCTATCGACTATCTATCATCTGTATCCATTGATCAATCATCTATTTTAATCTATCATCACCTATCTGATATCTACCATTTATCTATCTAGTATCTATCTACCTATCTATCTATGTATCTTCTATCTAATCTATTTGTCTATCCATCCATCCATCCATCTATTGATGTATCTTTCCACCCACCGAACTATCTATCTATCAACTATCTATTTATCGTCTAATCTGTCTATCCATCCATCCATCCATACATACATACATGTATCTATCCATCTAATCTATCTATCCATCTGTCTGTCTGTCTATCTATCTATCTATCTATCTATCTAATCTATTTGTCTTTCTATCTACCTATCCATCCTTCTATCCATCCATCCATCCATGTATCTATCCATCCATCCATCTAGTCTGTCTGTCTATCTATCTATCTATCTATCTATCTATCTATCTATCTATCTATCACCTATCTATGGAAGTGCTTGTCAGCTAGATGGTTCTATGCCCCAGGGCACACTCATGAATGTCTGACGATATTTTTAATGGCAACAACTACTGGGAAAGAGATGCTACTGTTTAATTAGGGGAGACCGGGGACGCAGCTCCACACCCTACAGTGCACAGGATGCCCCCCCATCAGAGACAGTCCTCCAGCCACTTATATCAGTAGTGCCGAGGCTGAGAAATCCTGGGTTAGATCCCAAAAAGGCAACGCCTCTCTAATAAATGTTTCAAGATGTAGAGGAAAAAGGCAGTGATTGGCAACATGGAAGTGAAGACATGTCAGTGGCGCCATGTTGGAAATCCCCTGGCTTGACGGTGTGCCTTCAGCCTCCACGGCCTGGCAGCTCAGGCCGGGAATCTCACTGTGCGTGACCGAAAGCAGTGTCGATCCAGGATACCACGTACGCAATTTTCCCTGCGGTGTCTTCCAGCTGAGCCTCTGCCCTGCCATGTGGAGAAGTGTTTTCCATTGATGTTGGCAGGGTTGAGCCAGTGTTGAACGCACGCTGAAGAAAAAGAGTGTTGCTCCAGTGTGAATGGGGGCCACCCTACTAGTATCTCATGATTCAGTTGTAAACCACGGTCTCTGTATAGCTTCATCATTCCTAGATTCTGACTCGCTACGTTCTCAGTGGCGTGTAATTAAACAGCCCAAGTGAGCTTCATAAAACAGCGGGCTCTTTTCCCCGCCTACACATTGGCACTATTTGGAAGCAGAGATGTCAGACTTGCTTGTCTCGAAGCCAAGTCCCCTGCGATGTGTGCACATGGGTAGTTTTCAGAGCCGCTCTGTTGGTTCTCATTATGCCCAGGCTAGGAGCTGCTGCTACAGAAGTGTTGAAATGTTTACAGACACATGCTACTGTACTCATTTTTGGATTCTAACTCCAAGAGACACCAAAACATCTCTGTCTGCTCTACTGTCATTGAATGACCTGCTAATTCATGTTAACTTGACTCTCACTCATGGCCAACGAAACCATTTACTTAGTCCTTGTTAGGAGGAGCTTGTTAGGAGGAGCTTGTTAGGAGGAGCTCGAGTTACTAGGTTGGGTTCCATCACAGGGAGACGTTTTTGTTTGTCTGTTTAATCGATGACAGAGTTCCAGACAGGCTATTAGAATGACATAGTGTGCAGCAGATATTTAAGATGAATATTCAAGCTCCCCTGGCGGGTGCCAGTATTACAATTTATATGAAATTGAGGGTGTTTTGTTTTTTTTTTCACTCTGGACGTTTTTAAAGTAGGAACTTCCCAAATCTCTTCACCCTGTTATTCCAAACATTAGTTCTGCAGTGCTGAGGGACACGCCAGTGTGTATTTCTGAAAATGTCACATGCCAAGTAAGACTCTTGTATTGTTCTTGCCATGTTGCATCCTCACACGGCAAATCTTTCTTAAATATTAAGTCAGCAGTGTGAGAGTTCAGGTCCGTCCCATGAGGGGAAGGGAATGACAGCATGGGTGGGGTGGGGTGGGAGCTGGTGACGGTCATTAAGCTTTTGTTACAGATTCTAGGGAAGAAGACTTTAAAGCAGTAGCACCAATCTCTGAAGAATCGTCTTAGCATCGAAACTCTGGGTCCAGCCGCAGTTACGTGATCCATTGCACGGCCCCTGCCTGGTTGCCTTGTGATGGGAGACAATATAATCAAAAATTGCCAAGAGTAAAAACAGCCTGTAAAGCACTTTCTTTAGGAACAAATTCACCTCTTTCTAAGGTTAATGCGTATTCATTCTCTCCCCGACTCTAGCATCTCATCTGATTTTTTCATTACAATCAGCTCCACGCTGACCCCCATGCAAATATTTGGTCCCCACACCCCTACCCTCCCACACTGCGTCTGCGACTGCATCGCACATCTTCAGTGGCCAGGCCAGCCAGAGGTCAGACTTCTACTGGAGAGCTGTTATTTGTGGTAAATAAATCACTTCCGCATTTGGACGCCATATCCCCTGCAGGCTGCAAAAACCAGCTGACATTTTGAGCGGTAACCCTGAGCGCTGCTCGTTTTCAGAACCATCTGTTTCTGTTTCATTTCAGTGACCTCAAGCCAGGAGAGAGTGTTTGGGAGACTCACATCTTACTCCTTTTTCTTTCTTTTTTTTTTTTTGGTCAGCTTTGATTCCAGAATTAAGGTGTTTGCCAACGGGACCCTGGTGGTGAAGTCCGTCACGGACAGAGACGCTGGGGATTACCTGTGTGTCGCCCGGAATAAGGTTGGGGATGACTTTGTCGTCCTCAAGGTGAACGTGGTCATGAAGCCAGCCAAGATCGAACACAAAGAGGAAAATGATCACAGAGTCTTCTACGGGGGCGACCTCAAGGTCGACTGCGTGGCCACCGGGCTCCCCAACCCTGAGATCTCCTGGAGCCTCCCGGATGGGAGCCTGGTCAACGCTTTCATGCAGTCCGATGACAGCGGCGGACGCACCAAGCGTTACGTTGTCTTCAACAACGGCACGCTCTACTTCAACGAAGTCGGGTTGCGGGAGGAGGGCGACTATACCTGCTTCGCTGAAAACCAAGTTGGCAAGGATGAGATGAGGGTGCGGGTCAAGGTGGTGACCGAGCCCGCTGCCATCCGGAACAAGACGTACTCTGTGGTCCACGTCCCCTACGGGGACGTGGTCGCCGTGGCTTGTGAGGCCAAAGGCGAGCCCACGCCCAGGGTGACGTGGCTTTCTCCGACCAGCAGGCTGATCCCCACCTCCTCCGAGAAGTACCAGATATTTCCCGACGGCACCCTCCTTATTCAGAAAACCCAGCGCTCGGACAGCGGCAACTACACCTGCGTGGTCAGGAACAGCGCCGGCGAGGACCGGAAGATGGTCTGGATTCACGTCGACGTGCAGCCGCCCAAGATCAACGGGAACCCCGACGCCATCACCACGGTGCGGGAGATAGCGCCGGGAGGGAGCCGGAAGCTGATCGACTGCAGAGCGGAGGGCATCCCCACGCCGAGAGTGTTCTGGGCCTTTCCCGAGGGCGTGGTGCTGCCGGCCCCGTACTACGGCAACCGGATCACCATCCATCGCAACGGCACGCTGGACATGAGGAGTCTGCGGAAGAGCGACTCCGTGCAGCTGGCTTGCATTGGGCGCAATGAAGGTGGAGAAGCCAGGCTGATGGTCCAGCTCACGGTCTTGGAGCCGGTGGAGAAGCCCGTCTTCCACGACCCGGTCAGCGAGAAGATCACGGCCATGGCCGGCCACACCATCAGTCTGAACTGCTCGGCAACAGGGACCCCGACGCCCAGCCTGCTGTGGGTCCTTCCCAACGGGACGGAGCTCCAGAGTGGCCAGCAGCTGCACAGGTTCTTCCACAAGGGGGACGGCAGGCTGCACATCAGTGGCCTCTCGTCCGTGGACGCTGGCGCTTACCGCTGCGTGGCCAGGAACTCGGCGGGCTACACCGAGCGGCTGGTCTCTCTGAAGGTGGGGCTGAAACCTGAGACGAGCAACCAGTACCACAACCTGGTGAGCATCATCAACGGCGAGACCCTGCAACTGCCCTGCACCCCTCCGGGGCGCCGGCAGGCACGCTCCTCTTGGACGCTGCCCAACGGCCTGGTTCTGGAGGGCCCCCAGACACGGGGACGCTTCACCCTTTGGGAGAACGGCACCCTCACCGTGCTCGACGCCTCGGTGTTCGACCGGGGGACCTACGTGTGCAAGACACACACCGAGTATGGCCCTTCCGTCGTGAACGTCCCGGTCATCGTGATTGCCTACCCGCCGCGAATCACCAGTGAGCCCGCGCCGGTCATCTACACCCGGCCCGGGAGCACCGTCAAGATGAGCTGCATGGCCATGGGGATTCCCAAGGCCGAGATCACCTGGGAGCTGCCGGACAGACTGCACCTGACGGCAGGAACGCAGGCCCGTCTCTACGGGAACAGATTCCTTCACCCGCAGGGATCCTTAACCATCCAACAGGCCACCCAGAGAGACGCGGGCTTTTACAAGTGCACCGCGAAAAACATCCTTGGCAGTGACTCCAAGACAACGTACGTCCACGTCTACTGAAACACCGGAGCTCATGGACCCCACGGCCGCTGCTTGGGGAGTTGGCACAAGGCCTCGTTCGTACGGGAGGCTGGGGCCCGAGAGTTGGAGCTCTGAAAGGATGTGCCGTGGGTCACCGTGGCCGCCCCCATCCCCAGGATGGATTTCAGGCTCATACTGACCTTGACCCACGCTTGTTGACGAAAGGAAGGAACGCAGACATTGGGGAATCTTTCTTCCGTGTTTACAGGCTTCCATGTGTTCTTGCATTTCTCGGCACTTGGGTGCAAACTGCCGTCTCTGTGCTGCAGACACTGCCCGGATGCTTTAAGGAGCATCTGTAGGATCCTTAAGGAACATCCATGGAAAAGAAATGGTAGACAGTCACAGTGCCTTGCTACCCTGAGGAAGACGCATCGCCTTAGTTAACCCGCTGCCATTTTAACATGGTAGCATGTTCTAGAATGAGCACCATCACCTGCTGCCTTTTAACGTGGTAGCATGTTCTAGAATGAGCACCATCACCTGCTGCCTTTTTAACGTGGTAGAACGTTCTAGAATGAGCACCATCACCTGCTGCCGCTTTAATGTGGTAGAATGTTCTAGAATGAGCACCCATTTTCCCCTTCTTTCCTCTGTCACTTCAAATCTTCAGTTTGCCCGACCAGGGCTGAAAACCACAGTGATTGATTTTTTTTTATTTGTTTTTTCATGTACAAGTTGCATACAATACAGCTATCATTTTATATGAAAGAATACTTTCTCCCTGGAACTCACTTTTTAAATAGTGTTTTATAGATAGATAGATATTATAAAATTTTTTTCTTTCTAATCAGACGATGAGAGTAGAAAGAGAAAGACATGCTTTCTGTCTCATTAAAGATAATAAATTATTGGTCTTTACAAGACTTGGATACATTACAGCAGTTATGGAAATGCAATTAAAAAATATTTCCCTCCCCGACTTCCTTCGTATTCATTAACCACTGGAATATTTCCTTTCCCAGGAACCCTACGTTGGGGGAGGCTGAGATGCTGGATTTCCTTGTTTATGGAGTTCACCCTGAGAGAGCTGTGGGGGCGGGGAGCGGACATGAGGGGAAGGGAAGGAGAGAGTTAAGTTGTGACCCCACAAAGTGAATCCAGAGCTTTTAGGAGAAGCCTGGAATATCCCACATCCTATGAATTTGTGTCCACGGAAAGTAGGACACCTGTTACTTCCATGACTGCTTTACTGTATTTTTAAGGTCAATAAAAGTGTACATTTGATAATAAAATAATATTTTCCAAACAACTGGGCAACGATGGCAGTATTTTCAAGGGCCAAAGCACTTCAGCGTGATTTGGGGTTTAAGTCAGGTTGGTTGAAAAATTGCTTTCACTCACCATATTGGAATTATTCTGTTCTTTGCGAAGCTTTGACAGGCAAGGAAGCTGAGTGAAAGGTAGTGGGCCCAGCGATCTCTTTGGCAGGGACCCGTGGTCCCCGATGGTGACGGTTCCAGTATGAAGCAAGACAATTTGAGGGTGGAGAAGTGGTGCCACAGCAATCCTCAGACAGTACTCTTTAGGAAAGAGATGTCTTGGACCCATGTACCAGTATTCCTCAAACACACAAGCACGGCATTCTTTTGCTTCCCCCGAGAGGGAGGAGAAAGGAAACTCAAGGTAAATATGTGGGAAGAATGTGACTTTCGGTAGCGCTGCCAATCTTGAAAGACTGCCAGTCGTTGAAACAAAAGAGAGCTTGGCTTTTCGTGACTGTGGGGAGCACGGACACACTCTCCCTCATTAATTACTTGCTTGAGTATAACTGCACAGCCCTCACCGTGTGCCAGGTACCAGGGTGGGGCCCAGCGGTAACCAGATGTGCAGGAGATACATCCTGCTTGAAGAGTTCGTGCTCCATAGTCAAACCCTTCATCTGGGGCAGGGTTTCTCAATATTTGCACTGCAGATGGTTGGGGCCGGGTCATTTTCTGGGCTGGGGGCTGTCCTGTGCATTGTTGGGTGTTCAGCAACATCCATAAGCTACGTCTACTAGATGCCAGCAGCATCCTTCACTCCAGGTGTGACATGGAAGAAGGCCTCCAGATATTTTCAATGCCCCCTAATCACCCCTGGATGAGAACCACTGCCACAGATGTTAAATAGATACAAATATGAAGATAGATAGATGATACATAGATAGGTGGATAGACATGATTCACTGATAGGCAGGTAGACAATACCTAGACAGATAGATGGATACATAGATACATAGATGATATATAGATACATGATAGTTAGACACATAGATAGATTAGATAGATACATAGATAGAATTGATCTGATGGATAGATAGATAGGATGGATGGATACATACATACATACATAGATGATATTTAGACACATGATAGATAAATGATAGATACATAGAATTGATGGATGGATAGATAGGATGGATGGATAGATAGATACATAGATGATATTTAGATACGTAATAGATAAGTGATAGATACATAGATAGCTAGATAGACAGATTAGATAGATAGGGTGGGTGGATGGATAGATAGGTAGGTAGGTAGACTAGATAGAAGATAGATTACATGATGGATGGATGGATGGATAGATTGATAGATGATAGATAAATAGATAGATGATAGATTAGACAGATGGATGGATAGACCGATTAGATGGATGGACGGACAGACAGACAGACAGTTACATGGTTAGACAGGTGATACATAGATAACATAGATATGGTATATAATATATAAATGTACAATATACATAAATGAATGTAAGATTATATATACGTGAGTATGTATTGGAATTCAAGAGTCAAGGACTCCTATTTAGGTATCTTATTAAATCAATTTTAAATTTCCTGCTGAATCCTTTACTGCACAAAATAGTCACACAAATCTCCTACTCTGCTCACCACTGCTCACCTGGACCTGGTCCACACACTATAAACCTATTGTACAGGACTCATTTCTTCCAGTTACAGCATCTCACCTGTACAGATAACTCTCCTCTTGTTTATAAAAAGCCTTCCATGCATAGAAGAGAATGCCACCCTCCTGAAGAGTAGCCAGGTACCTTCACATATCCTAGCATCTTTTTAATAGTTACTTCTTATTTTAAATGTCTTTTTCCTTTCTCTGGAGAGGGAATGTAATAATAGATGGAGAAATGAACAGATAGGGTTCCAGGTATACAGGTGGGTAACCCAAAAATTCATACCCAGGAGAGGACACATAACTTGGGGGACATTTTCAACCCTCAAAAAATGAATTTTAAAAATCACGGTCGTATTTTTGGGGGGAATGTCCCACATTTTACTGCCCAGAAGACACATTTAAGAAGCCATTCCACCTCGCTGTAAGCTGGCTCCCAGTTACTGAGTACCTAGTTCATTCATCTGCTAAAACAGCAACAGGGATGCATTGGCCCTGAGGCAGAGGTGGTTACCTGGCTCCCAAGCCTCAAGCACCGGCTGCCATATTGGTGGGAGAACAGCTTCCCAGGCAGAAACTACATTTCCCAGGCTCCTTTGCCTCGAGGTGTGGTCACATGTCTAATTCTCACCAATGCTGTGTGTCCCTTCCAGGCAGAGAAGGTGGAGAAGTGAGGATGGCTTTGTTCCCATCTGCCAACTGAATAAAGAGGTTATAAGACACTAGGGGATGAGAGAGCCACAAGATGGGAGGAACCTGAGTCCCTGGATCACTGTGGATCCAAAACACCTGGCAGGGGGTGCCCTGGGGGCTCCATTGTGCTATGATAACCACCATGCCTCCTGAGAACCATCTTTGCTCTTGAAAGTAGAAAAAAAGTACTATTTTTATTATCATCTTGGTGGATTGAAATTTGTACACAAGTTGTAAATTTTCAAAGTCTTTCATGTACATGATTTAATAGATAACCAAGGAACTGTCAGTATTACATCTTTAGTCTAGTTCATGGGATTCCATGGCCAGCCCTGATTTTTCTGGACTATCAGTGGCGGAGAAATACTGTCTGGAGTCTAGGCTAAAGTTTCAGTTAGGTTATTAAACATGGCGTACATTAAACCTTTCCACGGTGCCTCAGTCAGGAAGTCCAGACCCTGACTCCCCCTTTATCATTTAAAAAAGAGAACGAGGAAATTATATTTTAATTTTTACAAACTCATGAGAAGATTGGGAGTAGTGATGCATTGTTGGCGAAAAACCTAATTCAACTTTCTTTTATTAAAAATAAATGTGGACATGCTGCCTTTGGAAGGGAAAAATACAAGACCATTTTCCATTAATGTCTGGCAACATGAATTTAAAAACATTAATAACAAAAGCAAACAAACAGAGAAATCCAAGAGATTTCATGTGTACCGTGAAGGTTCACAGTCTTTCTGTTGTATAAGCTCTTGTGAAATATGTCAAAATAATTCAATGATACATTTTCAGAATCTGGATGAAGCAGTGGAGTTTATGGATTTCCTCAGGATTTGGCTTTGAATGATTATGAAAATAGATTCTGTGTGTAAACCCTTTTTTTCCTTCTATTTTTTTTTTCTGTACTATTGCAGAAACTGGAGGTCTATTTTAAATGAATAGTTAAAGAGGAAGCTATGAAAAACACAGTTTTCAGAGGACTGGATTAGTATCCACTGCCATTTCATTTTCTTACTGTTGATTCTGGAAAATGAGACATTTTCTCAAAGCTGGGATTTAAACTAATAATTAAAATAAAAACCCACTGAGATTTTTCCTACAGAAAATATTGCATTGAGTACATTTCAAAATGGGGAAAAGTAACCTTTCTTGACATCCTTCCAGCAGAAACCAGAATATTACACAGAAGGCCACCCACCATGAGGCCAGGTTGCTTGGAAAGACAGAAGGATTTGGCCAGAAAGAGGCAGATGTGACTAGGGGTGGGGAGCCTTTTTGGTGAGAAAGATCAAATTCCTAGTGTTTTCACATAGAAAGCTCGTAGCATAC